TAAGGAACATCATTCTAACTTTCTGCGCACATAAAACCCATGATATCCTAAAAAAGAAATGCATGCTTGTTCATAGTCATACTAGGAGGAACTACCCCTCAGTTCTGACAATCGTTCTCCTTCCTCGGTTCTTGCATTCATTTCCTTCCTCAGTTTTGGCATTCATTTCCGCCTTCTCATTCTATTTGATTTTTTATATCATTTTCTTCATCAGTTTCTCTCCCTCATAATATCTCCCTCTCTCCCTACATGTAGTCCTTTCTCTATTTCCCTCTCCCCTTCACATTTCTCTATCTCTTTCAATAACTCTCTCTTTCTCTCACCCTCTGTGGTTCTCTCTCCCTATAATTCCCTCTTACATTTTGTCACTCTCGAAGTCCCTCACATTATTCTCAAGCAAATCTAAAGGAGTCGAGCAGCTCATTGGAGAAGTCCTATACAGGAGTGGAGATTTGGTGTAGTCCTAATTGTATTTCTTATTCGTTATTTTCTTGTCAATTGATGTGTTAATGCCCTAGTTGTAACCTGATAGAAAGTGGATGCACTTTTCACAAAAATCAGTTGATGAAAATGAAAAACTGGGAAGAAGAATGCCCCAAAATAATTTTTTCTAAAAGAACTATAAAGAGAAATGCAAGATATAATTAGATCTTCAAGTGGAGAGGAAGATCCGGCTCTACAAAATCCCTAGCCACCGACTAGAGCCCAAATAGCCTATGAATAAACTAAATTCAGCAAACTTAAAAAATAACCTCTTGAAATCACCCTATTGTTAGCCTTAAATAGGCTCTCATAATTCCCTCCCAAATCAGCCACCTTTCCCTAAATAATTCCCTCTTAAATTTGAATTCAAATTAGATTTATTTCTCTAATTAATTCCCTCCCAATTGTAATTAAAACTTTCCTAAACAATCCCCTCCTTAATTCCTCCTTTTCCCTAAATAATTCCCTCTTATATTTTGAATTCAAATTAGATATCTTGCTTAAATAATTCCTGCCCAATTGTAATTTAAACTGTTGAAACAGAGAATTTGAGAGGGAAAAGCTTAAATTTTATTAAGCAATCTACTCCCTATTTATAGATCTATACAAGGTGTATCGATAAGGAAACAAATAACTCTTATAATAATGAGAATACAATTATTCCTAAATTAATGGGAGGAATTAATGCTATCCATGTAGTCTTCCCACGGATTACTGTTCACAGCCGTGGATATCTTTGGGATCGTAAGGTTGAGATTTAACATAAACATTCTTAAATAATTCCCCTTTGATTAAGAACCTTCCTAAATAACTCCCTCTTGCTTAGGAAACTTCCTGATTCCCTCCCAATCAAATCGGCTGGTCCATGACTACTCCCCTCCCAAAGTGCACCTTTTCCTCAAGATGGAACGAAGGAAACTGTTGTTGAAGCACTTGACTAATAGTACTGGACTGAAAAATTGCTAGGTCAAATGATCCCTTCCTCTAGCATCTTCATAATTAATCTCTCGACCTCATCCTTCTGGATTTGGGGATGACGGCATAAACGAACATTGATAGGGTGAGACTCTTTCATTCAAGATGATCGCATGCTCGCATTCCCGCGGAGGAGGCAACCCCTGAACTGGCTTGAACACCTCTCGATATTGCTCTGGGAGTGGGTGAACCATGTATGGTGCTTACATCTTCTCCTCATCTTCTCTCCTTCCAAATTTTTTAGCTCCACCAAAAATCTCTCTTTCATCCTTTCCCCTCCTTGGAAGTGGCTTCAAAGATGACATCTCCTCTTCTTCCCCCAAAACTTCTACTTCCCTATCCTTCCTCATTGTCCCTATATTAGGGTTTCCCCCACTTCCCAGTCCAATCAACGGTGCTCTCGCCTCCGATGATGTCGGTTGGGCATGAAACTCTAATAGTTTCCTTATCATTCTAGGTTGAAAATTTGTTCCTCCATTGATGTCATTCTATCCTCAAACGCCGATTTGAGTTGGCCAACTTTTTCTTTAAGATGCTCTTCCAAGGCATCAATTTTCTTTGCCGCCATAGGTCCCAAAAAAGTGCTATGATATCAATTTGATAGGAAGTGGATGCACTTTTCATAAAAATCAGGTGGTGAAATACGAAAAATTGGGAAGAAGAATGCCCCACAATAATTTTTACTGAAAGAACTATAAAGAGAAATATAAGGTACAATTAAATCTTCAATTGGAGAGGAAGATCCGGCTCTCCCAAAATCCTAGCCATCGGCTACAGACTAAATAACCTACGAATAAACTAAATTCAACAAACTCCAAAACATCCTCTTGAAATCACTCTATTGTTAGCCTTAAATAGGCTCTCATAATATGATGCAGGACTAAGTATGATTTAAATGGATGTGTTAATAACTTGCACGTTTTGGAATAAGAGCAATAATAATTAAAATATTAGCTACTAAACGATAATAGAAAACAAAAAGAGAGGTGACTCCGCTTGGGCCAAATCACACGCTAAAAGCTAAGATCACTAAAACATTTAGAATTTCAACATATGCAAATTAAGTAGATTTTCAATAGCATCCCTAGGTTAATAATGAGATTAGAAAGTATAGAAAATCAAACTCATGTCTGACGTTTACTAAGCATTGGAAGATAGCTTTGCACGACTCCTTATGCTTGAATCACAACCTACAAGAGAAGAAGATTAGGAGAAAAGTGAATAGGAGGAAAAGTTCACCCTCGTCGCGGGACGGTGTTGATTTGCCACTTAACGGTGGAAAGCTGTTATTCGATGGCTTGTGGACAAGATGAAGATGATAGGATCCAAGTACTCCTCGACGGAATTGTGTATTTCCAGGTTGTCGTCGAAGAAAGGCGACCGGAGGATGTCGACGACGCCTTGTTCGTTGTAGACGAAACCGAAGTCAAGATCGGGATCGGCCATGCATCGATTTCGTAGGGTTGAAGGTGTTGTAGACGACGTCCTTTGCTCTCCTTAAAAATTTCCCTTGAGAGAGAAGTTTCTCTCACGAATTCAAGAGGAGGAGGGTGAGAGGTGGCTAGCCAAAGGTGGGAGCTTGGGAAAGGAATTGATTCAGATTTTGGAGAGGAAGGATGGAGGGAAACTTGGGAATTTGTTTTCCTATTTAATTCTTAAGTTTGGAAAGAATTAAATGGGCAAGAGGTGAGAGGGAGGGGCGGGTAAGAAAGAGGGAGGGGTTTTGAATTCTTCCCAAAGATAGAGAATTGCAATTTGGAAAGAAATCAAATGGGGTAATGAAGGGGGGTTGGTGGCATAGAGAGAGAGAGGGGCCGGTGGTTTCAATAGGGGAGAGGGAATTGGGGAAAGACAATCAAGGGTTGCTTGTTTTGGAATTAGGAATTTGGAAAGATTTAATTAAATCCAATTGAATTTAAATTCAAATAGGATTTAATTTTAGAAACTTTCCTCTAATAGAATTTATATTTTAGGTAACAATTTCAAATTCAAATAGATTTGAATTGTGAATTAATTGGGTTACCTAAAATATAAAGACCTACTTAGAAAGGCTTTAATTGCAAGCATTAATGGGGAAATTCCAAGGGGGGCCAGCGGCTAGGGTTGGATGGCCGTCGGTTTGTTGAGAGGGAGATGGGGGTCGGTCGGGAGATGGGGAGTTTAGGGTGTGATCCAAGAGGAGAAAAGGTAGAGGCTTATGGTTGGCTGGCGGTGGGGGTTTGTGGAGGTGGACGGCGATTTAGGGCTTTAGGTGGGCTGTGGGGATGGAGGGGAAGGGAGCGAGAAAGAGGAAAAGAAATAAGATGAAAATAGCCACGAGCTCGGACTCTTTCAAGGTTGGTGGGTGATCCGCTTCCCTCTCCAAGAGATTTTTCTCCAAAACCTCTCAATCTCTCACAAGAACTCAATATGCAGAAATTTGATTATAATTCATTCATTGAACTCAAAAGCAATATAAGGGGGCTATATATAGCCTCATAAAATGAATGAGAAAATAAAAGACGACTTAGCCCTTAGGGCTTACATATGACAAACTCTTAAGTAAGGGATAAAAAGGGAAATACATAAAGCAAATAAATAAAACAAATACATATGATAACTCAAAAATAGATCGGCGCGATCGTGGCTATAGATCGACAACCACATCTCTGACATACTTTCCATGATATGATGTCCCCATCATAATCCCTCCCAAATCAACCGCCTTTCCCTTAATAATTCTGATAGGAAATACTTGAGATCCAGTATTTCCTTTGCACTTCTAGAACAACTCTCCAAGCCAGTTGCTGTCCCGCACAGGAAAACAGTGAAAAACAGCGGAAAATCTGAGAAAAACTGAGAGAAAGCGTAGGAAAACAATTGCAAATGATTGTATTCCACTAGTAGATGCAAAAGACAAGCAAGATATAATTTTCGAGAGGATGGAAAAAACTCTCCAAATCTCTAGCTGTAGTAGTCTAGAGCCCAAGAACAAGAAAACCTAGATCTCCAAAATACATTCAAATTCAAGATATCCCCAAATCCCTCCAAAACTCCTAATTAAAGACAAAGGAATATTACAAAATACCTAAACAGCCCTTAGTTCAAATTATTTCCCTCCTAATCTTGCATTAAGCCCATAATGGGCTCCACAAGGCTTCCGCCCAACCCAGGCCATCCGCTGGGTCTATTCCGTCGCCTGGAATAGACCCGAACCGGTCCAGCCGGCCCCTCCTGGGCCAGCGTAACAAATTCCCTTTTAAATTTGAATTCAAATTATATTTATTTCCCTAATTAATTCCCTTCCAATTGTAATTAAACTTTCCTAAACAACCCCCCTCATAATTCCTCCTCCTTTTCCCTAAATAACTCCTTAGATTTTGAATTTAAATTAGATCTCTTGCTTAAATAATTCTCTCAATTGTAATTTAAACATTTCTAAATAATTCTCTTTTGATTAAGAACATTCCTAAACAACTTCCTATTGGTTATAAAATATTTATTCTTACTGGTTTTAGGTTGGCAAGTAAATTTTATTTTTTTTCATTTTTCTTGGGTTCCAGAAGCGCAGTTCAACAAGGCCCGTTATGGATGAAAAGATCCGGTTTTTGGAGGATCAGATAATCACAGCCAGGGCTTTCTTGCAGTTCGCACAACCAAGCAGCAATTCCCACCTTGCGAGGGAGCTGAAACTGAGGATAAAAGAAATCGAGAGGGTGCTTAGTCACGCCAGTAAAGATTCTGATTTGCGTAGGAGGTAACCTTCAATATTTGCTCTCTTGAAATTTAAAATAGCTTTGGCATTATGTTCATTGCTGTTCATACTGTAAACAACAATTGCTCGTATCTTTGATAGAAAAAAATTTCCCTATTGAGGTAGAAAATCTTTTCAGTGCCTTGCAGAAAATGAAAGCAATGGAAAATACTTTGTATAAAGCCAACAAGGCTTATCCAGATTGCAATGCAATGGCATCAAAATTGCGTGCCATGTCATATAACACTGAAGAACAACTCAGGGCACAGACAAATCAAGTTTCTTATCTTATTCAGCTTGCTTCACGTACATTCCCTAAAGGTCTTCATTGCCTGACAATGAGACTAACTACAGAGTACTTTGCTCTGCCACCTGAAAAGCGCCAACAGCTATACAGCCATAAGGTTCAGAACGCAGATCTTTATCATTATGTTATTTTCTCAGACAACATATTAGCATGTGCTGCGGTGGTGAACTCAACCATTGCGAATTCCATGGTAAGACTTAAGTGTAATTCTATGTCATTTTTGACATGCATGCATTCAAACTATGATTTGAATTCTGGTGTTTACCGGAAAGATTAACTTAGAGCACATTTATTCCTATTAGGTGATGTAGTGTAGAATAGAAATCAAAGGTTCGTGATTTCTTTAGTTGATTGTGGTTTTAGAAGAAGGAAAATGATAGAAAGCAAATCGATAGAGGGAGAGAGAGAGAGAGGCATGGGAGAAGGAAAAGGATAGAAAGCAAATCAATAGAGGGAGAGAGAGAGAGGCATGGGAGAGAGATGTTGTGAGAGTGAGAGAAGAGAGAGAAGAGAATGATAGAGAGAAATCAGAAGAAAGTGAGGTTTTTGGAGAGGAAAAGGGTGTTAGGTGACTGAGAAAATGATACAGGAAGTTAGTGGGATAAAGATCAAAAGAAAGGTGAGCAAAAGATTGGGATTGAGCAATTACAGTAGATAATAGCAATAGAGGAAAAATGATTTTGTGATAGAGTTCGTCAGATGATGTTGAAGGATTACTGAATTTGAGGGGCTATGTGGTGAAAAAAATCAATAAATCTTCATTGTATAAAATGCTTTATTTCAGGTAAACTTTTAGCCATTTATAGAAATATATTATAAACAAGTAAAAAGCATAATTAAAATTTACTTAAATATGCCAACTAATAAATCATGTTATCGATTATGCATATTAGTCTGGGTCATATTTTATCCAGAAATTCCCAACGTATAAAGAACTCTCCTTAAAATAGTTCTGGTAAAGGTACTCGTCTTGCAGACTTGAAGAAATGCGTTGAATGTGATTGAGAGTGTCCACAAATCATCAGATAAAGGTTGTTTTCGACTCTAAGGTTGATCTTCATAATTTAATTTTCCCTTCAACTCTCTCTCTAGTCTCATTAACAAGAAGATTATCATCAGCAAAAAGCATACATCAAGGTACATACTCAAACAAATATAGTAACATTGTTTGCATAAAAGATCTAATATATTCTCATCAAATAGAATCAACTCAAAATCTGATATGCTAGGAGCTAGTTGCATAATATTAATATAGGAGAAGCTCAAAATAATCCATTGATCATCCATATGTAGTCAATTTAGTCTCAAAATATCACATTTCTCTAATGCAATCCCTCGATTAAATGAAACTGATTCTATATTTTCAAAGTTCAATTTGTATAGTTGATGGTTTAAATTAGAGATTTGTGATATTCTAGGATTAAATTAGCTACATAGGAATATTCGAGGGACTATTTTGAACTTTAGATATTATTGTTAGAAATGTAAAAACTTTATCACATGCAGTAAATTTGGAGGATAAAAAGTGCCTTTATATGATGATAGATTCACAACTTGAAAAATGTGCCTAGCTTTCATGTTGAAAGGCAATGCAACTATAAATGCAATATGTTTTAGTTTTCTGAACACATAAGAATGCTCCGAGGCTTTGCTTGATGATATACTAAATATAAAATAAAGAATTAGTACAAGATTATATATATATATATATATATAAGAGGGAAAGAGGGAGGAAGAGAAATATAATATTCATCATTGTTATCCTAATTACTAAATGAACGCCATAATAGCTATTACATTTTCATCATTACAGCAACAACACAAGCTTTTATCCCCCTACGTGGGGTCGGCTACATTCATGAAATTTAATTTTTTGTGGTCAACAAATCTATCATACAAATGAGATGAAACTAATGTAACATAATCTAGATATGGTGCATTCAGGAGTAATGAAAAATCATCTATAAGCTTTTTAGGAGTAGGATGGATAACTTCACTTGGACAAACAGATAAATAACTTATGATAAAAGGCTCAACAAAATCCAAGGGATCTTCCAGCTATATTAATTACCTATTTTTAGAAAAAAAAAATAAGCATTTTGGGAAGCTGAATTTCTGTTAAGTATACTAGACCAAAATATATAATTATTAGGTAGTATGATCCATCTACTTCTGATGTCAAAAGCATCTTGGATACAGGCCTGCATGAATGTAACTACCAGCAAAGAGTACAATAGGCAATTTTAATTCATCTTTCTTCAATTGATTCTTCCTTTAATTTGTTTAAGAATTTAATTTAGTAACATAAAACTGGATACAAAATCAGTATCTTGTTGAATAACATGTGAATAGGGAGTCCTAGTTGATAATTTCTCGAGACTAAGAGGATAAGAAAGATCAAATAAACTTGTAGCTTCAGCAGGTGAGTTACTTAAATAAAATTTTAGATTTAGACTCAGGATTAGGTTTGGAATTCTTTCACCGTAGCAATGCAGAAACTAAGTTAAACACAATGAGGAACAACAGGGAAGGGAATCAATAATCTTTGAAGTTTGAAGAGAAAAGTGACTTCCAGGTATGTTAACCATGCTTATGTTACCATAATTGATGTCCAGGGTATAAAATAAAGAATCTTATTTATGATCTTATAATGATTTCTGAAGAAAGAGAGGGAGAGGAAGGCGGTGGGCGAGCATCAGAGAAAAGGTATTCTGAGAGATGGAAAGGTGTAATAAGCAAACAACAAGTAAGAGGAATTGCACGAACGACAAGAGGAATTGCCCAAGAGAATAGCTAGTGAGGAAAAGTGACCCTAGAGAGGATATGAGAGCGAGTGGAGGCAGATGGGTGGGAAATCAAGTTGATTTATGGAGGTTAGTGGCCAAAAAAAATCTAAAAATTCTTTGGATTATAGTATGCCCTAGAGCACCTTTTATAGAAAATGGCTGACCCCATTTTAGATAAAATCTAAATAATGTAAGAAATAAACAATCACCAATTAAACTATCAGAGATGCAAATTAGATGCTTGCTATTCATTGATTTGCCCATGCATCATTTTCTTTCTCCACTGTTAAATGCCTTGTTTTATTTTTCATTTAATCATTCAATCCACCTTTCAGAGGGTTATCAATTAGGCTTTTGTCCAATATTTCATTTTTATTCTATGCAACATTTGGCCTTACTTGTAATGGCATAAGCTGCACTGTCACCCCAATTGCATTGCTGGGCGAGTTTGAGAACCTAATCTCACCTGCATCAACTGATTATATATTTAGTTCTTCTATCCAAACATTTTCGGAGTAAATTTTTTAAGAATTCCTGTGTTTATAGAAAAAATTGTCTTTTGCAGGAGCAGGAGAAAATAGTCTTTCATGTGGTTACTGATTCAATTAATTTCCCGGCAATGATGATGTGGTTTCTGATGAACCCACCTAGAGAAGCCACAATTCAAGTACTGAACATGGATGAGTTTGAATGGCTTCCTTCAAATTATGGTCTAACATTTGTGCAGCATGGTATCTCAGACCAAAGATACACATCACCCCTCAACCACCTTCGTTTCCATTTGCCCAAGATTTTTCCATCGCTGAACAAAATTTTGCTTTTGGACCACGATGTGGTGGTGCAAAAGGACTTGCGGAGGTTGTGGAGTGTAGATATGAGGGGCAAAGTTGTTGGAGTTGTGGATACATGTACAAATGATATCTCATCTCAGCCTCTGAAAATGCTTGTTAACTTCAGTGATTCAACAATAGCAAAAAGTTTTGATCCCAAAGCTTGTGTATGGGCTTTTGGTATGAATATATTTGACCTGCAAGCCTGGCGTAAAAAAAAATTAATGAAGGTGTTCAATAAGTGGCATCAAGTGGTAAGCCATTCCAATTCAAATTGTAGTTTTTCTTTAAAAATACTGTAATTAGAATTATAATATGTCAAACCATAACATCAATATTATAGGTGTGAAGTGACTGATGTAGATGCCGCAGAAATTTGCCGAAAGAAAAGTATTGACTGATGTAGTACTGTTGAGATGAAGCTTAAAAAAGTTATTCCAACAGTGCCACATCACTTGAAACTTTTTTTTTTTTTGGAGAAAGTATTAGCAAATGTATATTTTCTCAGTTTTAACCAGCATGATCAATATTTAATCATTTAGGTCTCATTTGGGACAACTTTCTTTTTGCTTCTTAAAATGACATTTTAGTTAAAAAATTAAAATTTTTGTATTAAAAATCTACTTTAAGAAGCAGAAAGAAAGCCGCTCCCAACGAAGCCTTAAGCTACCAGAAATCTGGTAGTTTTTAGGAGGGCGTTGGATGGTTTGTTAACGTTTATGATCTCAGCCGTGCATCAAATTAACATGCATGATTTTGCAGGGAATAGGGAAGAAACTGTGGAAAGCAGGGAGCTTGCCATTGGGCCAGGTTATATTTTACAATAACACTGTTGTGCTGGATCGACGATGGCACTTGATAGGCCTTGGGCACGATTCAGCACTAAGTAGTAAGGATATTGAGAGGGCAGCAGTTATCCACTACAGCGGACTCATGAAGCCATGGTTCGATATTGCCATCCCAAGCTACAGGGGCTACTGGAATAAGTTCATTGAGTTCAAAAATCCTTACCTGCAGCAATGCAACATTCACCCATAGTAAATGGTGGCGGTACTTAAATCTCTCTCGCTTTCCTGATCTCTTTTTTTTCTGCAACATTCATTGCTTTAATTTACTATTACATCAATTCAACGTTCTTATGTATATTTTGCTTGCATAGCCGATTTGAAATATAGCTCACCCAATTCATTTTACCTAATTTCTGATAGAAAAAAGTCTCAGGGCTTCACTTCATTTGTAGTTCAGCAAGATTAGTTAGGCCAGTATAATTCATGTAGAAGAACTTGTACGATTCTTAACTGATATCTTGTTTTTTGTTACTAAGATTTGCTAGTTTGTGATTGTATATTGGTTGTGTTGATATCAAGCCATATAGCAGGATGGTCATAAGGCTATCCAAGGGTGGAACCCCCTAGAGCTCAGGGGGGCAATTTCCCTCCCTAAAAAAATAAAAATTATATGTATATTATATGATTCTTTACATAATTTGTCTCACTTCATTTATTTTTTAGTCTTTATTACAAGAGTTTTTAGGCAATTGCCCCTTCTAAAAAATTTAAAATACTACAGTCTTTAGGTAATTGCCACCAGCATTATTAAACATATTATGTAGAGGTGTTATTGTTAGGGAACGATGAACCAAATATAAAGAGAAATATTAAATCAAAATTTATCCCAGCTCGATCCCATCAAGGGGGCACTGCCCCCGTGGACCCCCGACATATCTGCCAACAGTTAACGTTTAAATTTGCCCTCCCTAAAAATTATGGATGGTTCCGCCCGTCTATCTCTAATCTTGCTGGGGGTATCACTTGTGCCTGGCTATCTCTAATCTTGCTGGGGGCATCAATTGTACCTAGGCCTTCTCTCCTTTCCAGTATATAGGCATAAGTGCCAACAACAACAACAACAACAACAACATCAAGTTTTTGTCCCACTATATTGGGTCGACTACATGAATCATTTTTCGCCATTGTGTCCGGTTAACGCCAATTTACACTTGAAATTGGAAACTATCGATCTTACTCCTGCTGAATGTAATAAATTCACATTGGATTTAGAGAATAATTTTGCAATAAGAGCATTTGGATGCTGCGATAATTCTCACCAGCATAGAGCATAGATATGAAAGTTGCTTGACAAGAGAGATAGAGCTCTAGGTAAGTATTAATTAGAGCACTTAAGACATAACAGATGCAATGCATATATAGTAGATCCAACATCCAAAGAATATGCATGTGAGACACTAATCGAATAATATAAGTCTGATTTATTCATCTGTCGTTGCAACGAGAGCAACGAAAAGAAACAAACGTTAAGAGCTACATCGAGTTAATTACATCACCAAATTAATTTGAAGAACCGTCCGAACATGTGAGTGTACACACTGTATATAAATACTGTGTACAGTACTTGTATAAAGTGTGTACACTCACAATACGGACGGTTCTTCCCGTCTGGACTCCGCACGGAATAATTTCTCTGCTTAGGGACAGGTGCCTCCATGATTGATAGGGTTGTGGGTGCACCCAGAAGGCCCTGATGGAGTCGTCTGGCCTTTAGATAGAAATTGTAACATGAGTCCACTGATAATATTGCTATTGCCTTGTTGATCCATGCACCATGAATATGCCTCCTCTTCTAATGGCCTGGCCGCTATTAGCGTTAGCTTCATGCTTGAAATCACCAAGAAAAGTAGAAGCAAATGCTTTAAGCTCCCAAAAATCTTCATTCCTAAGACGAAGAAGAAGAAGAAGAAGTTGTGGTTGATGAGGAGAGGAAGGGTGGCTAGATGGTGCATTATATACATGTCTTAAGCTATGAAGCTGGTCTAATTTTTTGAATGGATGGGGGGTCGTGGCTTTGAAATTTGAAGTCGTATCTTTTTTTTTTCGTCCTATGAACTTGGACCAAGCCAACGCGCACCTTTTGAGCCTTTTTTATTTTATGTAAATATACGTGTGTATAAATTCTACCATAAGACAATTAAATTAAGAAAGATCTAAACCAAATATTTAATGAAAAGGCTAATAATTTAACCATCAAATTAAGTTATAATAAATAATTAATCACCGAACACCGTAAGCTATATTTTTCAAATGGTAAGCTGAATCTCCTAAGATTGAGAGATTATTACGTGCGGATTCCAGATGGGAGAACTGTCCGGAATTTATGAATTATGAGTGTGTGAAGTAAAAGTGTAGTTATTGTGCACACTGCATTTTTATTGTGCACACTCATAAAATCTGGACGCAGCTCTGATTTGAACTTTGTAAATAATAATCTCTCCATAAAGTCAGAGGATGACGAGCAAGCTTCTCAATCCATAAATCTTATGTTTTTTCATTCTTCCTCCTAGCAAATAGAGCGGCCGTAATAAAATAAACAGTATGTTAAAACTCTGAGGGTCTATCAAAACAGTATGATTGATAGAATCCTCGGATCATGTAAAATAGCCTACGGTTGTATGATGTTTTTTCCTTCATTTATATTATTTTTAGAAAATAAAAAAAAAATAAAGAATCATTGAGCTTATTTGATCTTGAATCAAAATTGGCTCAAAGTTATTCAATACGATATAGAGCCAAGCTAAATAGTTGGCATAATTTAATTTTCAAGCCATCTTTAATCATTGAGTTTTAAGCATGATGATAAATCAATTAATAACTGTGGTATTAATAATATAATAAAATTTATAATATGAAAAATTATATTATTTTAAATAAAAACTCAAATTGAATCTTTTTATAGGATAAGGAAAAAAAAGAAAATATTATATAAATTACATTAAATATATTAAATGAATTGAAAATTTTAAAAAACTTTTATTTTGAAATTAAGGCTTTATTTGAGATAACATTTTATCATTATTTTTTCACAGCTTTTTTTTTTTTTTTTTAAATCTGTCGATAAAAAAACCAAACTAAATTTAAATAATATGATAACGAATTGTCATTAGTATTCTTTCAAAAATAAAATATAGCATTGTTGGATGTGAAGATAACACCAACTTTACTGACAAATAATCTTAATAAAAAGAAAAGGAGAATTGAGAGATTAAGAATTTTCTCAGTTTAATCTTACATCTTGATAATGATTAAAATAAATATTAGTAAAATACCAAAATATATAAATTAAATTATGCATTAAATTGTTTGGCTTGACTTTAAATAATTAAATTTAATTTTTTTTAGAAATTTCATTTTAAAATGAAACTGTATCTTTAAAGTTTTGAAGAAAATTTTACCTACGCTTACTACTAATAATAATAATAAAACATATTATTGCCCACATTAAACTTTGATGAAAACAAGTTGAATCGATCTCGAGTCCTAATGAGCCCGAATTCGGCTCCCCTAATGTATAAGGGGCTCGAACTCGAGCTGCAACTCTACTAGATTTTTTTAAATTTTGGCTCATGCTCGCTCATTAGCTCAAGCTAGAATAAGGTGCTCAAATTTGGCTCGTTTATGAGCTTGATAGCTCAAATTGAAATGCTCGCTGTTTTTATTAAATTTTTTGATGAATTGTAATATCTAATTTACATCATCACAAATCCTGTTTAAACATCTGAAATATGTACAAACATAGATATACAATATTTTTTGAATTAATAAGGGATTAGAAGATGAACGCTCAAATAATAAGGAATGGAGAATTAGAGCTCAAATAAAAAGCAAAATGAAGGGCTTGAGGAAGAAGCTGAAAGAGCGAAAACCTGGGCCCCTTGACCTTACACTCTCGGTGTAGCCAATGCAGAGTGGAGTAAGCTTGATATTTAGATTTCTTGGTGAAGAAGTGAAGATTGAATAAGATAAATGGAAAGATCTAAAAAAAAAAATCCAAAGAAATTTCAGTGCTTGTGAGATGCGAGATGAAAGCGAATTGGGATCAGTGGCGCAGCCAGAAATTTTATTGGGGAGGATACTTTTGTTTGCCGTCTCATATGGAATGTTAGAATACATTAAAATTGTTGTCCATGAGTCTTTCATGGTTCTCATTTGGATTGCATTATCCGGTTAAGACCATATCTTACTAACTAGAAGCGCTATCTTTGACATTGGAAAGATATTTAGCAAACCTCTTCAAATGAATAACACGAAAGGTAGCATATACAGATTATGATGCACTTGATCATGAACTATTTATTGGACATTTTAATGTTTTAATGATATCAAATTTTGGCAATCTTGGGCTCATTGGATTTGCCTCGTCGAGCTGATCAATTTGACTATAAGCATGTCACGTTTGGAAATCGTTTAGTCATCCAATTTATAGTTTGAACGTCAAAATGCAATTTGGGTATTCGATTTGAACCCATTTGGGCTCGGATTGAGTTGAATTTGTCGTCGTTGGGTTCATAATTCTAAAACGTTCAGTTAGACAATAAGTTTGCTGAAATCAGAGTTTGGATGGTCTCTGATTTAATTTCGGAAGTTCCAGACTTGATTTTGCCTTCAGATTTGCCTGATCAAGATAAATTTTTTATGACATATCATAGATAAATTGTATAAATATAAAAGCTCTTTTGATCTTTTGGATGTTATTTTATTTTCCAATTGCTTTTTAATTGAACTAGAGCTTCATTATAGAAAGAGCTAGCTCATAAATCTATTCGAGCTTTATAAGCTCGACTCGTGAGTTCATTATCGTATCAAATTCGAGCAGGCTCGTGAGTTGGCTTGACTTAGTTGCACTCTTAGCGCTCACACGCTTGATTCTAAAGAAGCAAAACACAAGAAATCAATCAGTGACAATATGTTTCTTTTTTTCTTTTTTTTTTCTTCCTCATTCTATACTGATAATGTCATATATAGTTCACTGTAGTTTTATGGCAGTATTGCAAATAAGCCTAATTCGTAAGATAAAATAGTATAAACGAACCAATGATAAAAAGAAGTAGCGCTAACATCTTGGAGAGCAATTATTACTTCAGGTCATCATACGCGTCCAGAGACAAATAATCACGCACCACGTCATCTGGAACTCGATATTTAGCACTCGGTATTGCTCAGTGTACGTCCGAATTGTTGATTTTTTGTCCGGATGTAATAATTATTCCATCCTGACGAAGGTGGAACATCCTGGCATGTGCATGAGATAAGTTGTCCCCCTTTCTTTATTTTGTGATCGATTGTACCGCATCACTTTTAAGTGAATTAAGACAAATTCATGTACACATGTACATCATATACGCAAGTTTCAATTCTAAGACCTCTTGACTGATAGGCAAAGCTCTGAGCCAACAAATCAAGACAAACTGCATAGCTTATTCATGACCAATAAAATATGAAAATTAAAGACGGCATAATGCACTTTTCATCAGCTAAATAATGAATTATTTCC